CGGTTGTAGAATATGGCCGTTGGCCAATAACTCATAAAAATCCAATAAGAAAACCATAAAACAATTTTTAAAAAGAAAAAACAAAAAAAAAACCCACCCACATGGTCCCCCCTTCCCTTCCTCCTCCCACCCATCTGGACCCACTTCCCCTCCTTCTTTTAACCTCTAGCGCAGGAGGAACCCTCCCCTTCTTTCCCTTTTATCCTTTTTTCCATAATATTCATCCCTATTGTGAGTCATCTTCTCCTTTCCCCCTTTTATCCTCTTTTTCCCTTCTTGTTGTGGACAATCTTAGTAGAGATTTAGGGATTGTTTGGAAGTTGTGATTCTTCAAATTGATGTATTGATACAATTAGTGTATTATCATTTGATGTATTGAATCAATTGATGTATTAGGCAAATATCTTGTTTGGAGGTTTAGATTGTGTTTTTGTTCTAAAGGTAAAAAAGTTAGTTTTGAGTGATTGTGAAGAATCTCAACAAAAAGTAGAGATTGTAAATCCCTCAATATTGAGTGATTGTGGTGGGACCTCCAAAAAGTAAATACATGTATTCTAGTTCTATATACGTCAAAAAAACGACTTAATCTCACAAATACATGAATTAAGTCAATACACCATTTGAAATCACAACTTCCAAACGACCCCTTATAATCATTCATTTTGAGTGATTGTAGGTGGGCCCAACAAAAAGGTAATGCATGCATTCTAACTCAAAGTGAACCAAAAAAACGACTTAATCTTATCATTACATGTATTTGCTAAATACCTCACTTCAAATCTCAACCTCCAAACAACCCCTAAACGTTGTATTGTGGACAATGCATGTATTTAACAAATACAACAATAACAATCGCAACTTCCAAACGACCCCTAAAAGTTGAGATTGTTGGTTTTAGATTTGTGTCACCTTTTTCTTTCTATTTATATCCCTAATAGTTTTTGTCTTATTCTAAAAGTTGAGGGTAAATGTGAGAATTCCCCATAAAAGTAACTTTATGTAATCAGTGCATAAAGCAGAATCTCAACAATCAAACAATGTATTGGTAAAATGCATCCATTGTATCAATAAATGCATTTTATATTATGGTGATTCGTTACAATGCAACGATTTAACATTCGCAACTTCCAAACGACCCCGTATGTAAATTTTCAATTATAACGCTAAAGAGACCTACTATAACATTAAGTCAACAAAGATGCAATCATTCTTAATACGGTTCAAATCGTATGATCCTAAAACATATATTAATCAATAAGATGGAGTATAATATTTTCCAAATCATTAATTTTTAACTCTAATACATCTACTAATTAATTTTAACTAACATAATTATCTTGTTAACAATAGGAAAAAGTGAGAATGAAGGGATAATTGACGTAAAAGCGGACAAGCCGGCACGGTTTTACTCTTGAGTGTCCTCCCCAAAAGGCCTCGTACTAATTGGGCTAGGTGGACACTAATATACAAAGGTTTCTTCCCTTGTATCTCCGATGTGGTACTTGGATTGTCTCATAACAATCCTCCCCTCAAGACAAGGACCACGAACTTCGTGTCATCTCCTCAGCGATTATCTTGATCCGCCAGACGCCTTGTATCGATGGGCTTCTCGGTACAAGGACTTTATCAGACGAGAACTCTCTTTGATCTGCTTCCCTAATGGGGAACTCTCTTTGATCTGCCAAGCCCAAACATGGATCTCTCCTAGATCCACCAAACGGACGCGAATCACCTTTGATCCGCCAGACAAGCGCAGATCTCAAACCCCGAGGTCACTGAACGAGGGTCCCACCACGTCCAGCGTCCCAGATCCGTCAAACCAGGCTCTGATACCACTTGTCACAAATCGGGCTGCTCCATTAGTACGATATTGTCCGCTTTGGGCCAAGCCCACACTATTTTTACTCTTGGGTGTCCTCCCCAAAATGCCTCGTACTAATGAGCTTGGTGGACACTTATATACAAGGGTTCCTTGCCTTGTATATCCGATGTGGTACTTGGATTGTCCCATAACCATCCTCCCCTCAAGACAAGGACTCGTGTCCTCCCCCTCGGCGATTATCTTGATCCGCCAGATACCTTGTATCAATGGGCCTCTCGTTACAAGGATTTTTCAAGTTACGGGCATGGTTACGTAATTCCAGTTACACGGTCATACTACACGGCAGTGTAAAATCATATCTTGCCCGCGCACGGCCACCTCGCACGGCCGAGTAAAATAATGAGCAGGCCGCATAAAATCCTCAGCTTTCCGTTGAACGTCCTAACTTCATCCAATCGACCCTGAACTCGTATCCAAACCTTCATTCACGTACTAGGACATGAAATATCACTAATAAGAACAACCTAGCTGGAAATCGGTTTAAAACACAAGAAACGAGCCTCAAAGAATATAAGAATGGTGGACGAAAACATGTGCACATATAGAGTCATCAAATCCCCCCACACTTAACCGTTTGCTTGTCCCCAAGCAAACCTGGCTCAAACCAATGCAACTCTCAAGACCTCTATAGCAACATGCAACCTCGATCGTCTGTAGAGGACTTCCTAGATCATTTAGCAGCTTACGAGGTCAACCAGTTTTCTACGACATCCCCTATTTCTCTCAATGCGAGTACTAGACTCACACCAGGTAATATCAAGTACTAGACTCATCCCCTATTTCTTCTTGGCGCAAGGTGTATCAAGTAATACAGTCTATCGGAGCCCATATGCTTTTGAGCTCTCAATTAGAATATGGGGCTTTTGCTTCCCGTATGGAGTTCGGCGACGGCGGCTGCAATGGTTCCAAGGGAGTTTCGGAAGCCAAAGATGCAGATACGTGGTACGCCAGTTTCTTGGTTAATTGGGATTGCCCATGAAAAGATTTGGTGTCAAATTTATTAGCCTCATCGATTTGTAATTCGTAGGTGATTAAATAAGTTGATCGCCGATTGTAATTTGAGTAGAACAGTCCCCGTCCGAATAAATCAGTGTCGGCAGACGGTGGGAATAAGTGGTGACGGTTTTTTTAATGGACTGTGTTAGAATAAAATATTTTAATAATAATAATCAGGGTAAAAAAGTCTATCTTAATTATTAATTTAGGGCGATTCGTAAAAACCAGGACGACAATTAGCAACTCCCTTAATTTAAGTACCAATAATACAAAAGCAACAAATAAAAGAGAACGCCAAAGACAATTAATTAAAAGGGAGACCTAAAACAACAAAAGAGTCACAAAAGAGCACATTCAACTTACTAACCGCATGCCATTTTCAATGTTTTTTTTTCTCTCTATCTGTAGGTCCAATTTGACCCTCAAATCTCCTAAATATAACACTTTGGCATTTTAGTACTCAATTGAATTTTTTTTTGCACTTTCGCATTTTGGCACGCCATTAGAGGTGGTCTTACTCTCTCTAATACTTGATGGGATCATCTCGAGCATTCTCAAACATTGTATCAAACATCTTTTATATTCAAATCTTAATATGATTCACAAGCTAAATATGTAGGAGGATTATTTGATGATGACCCACATGCATTTTTCGCATATGCCCTGTGCCCATTCTTATTCACCTTGTATTTCAAGAATCTTATCTGTGTAACATGTTCTTTTAAGAGCTCTGTAGGCGACAAACCTTACTCTATTAATTGTGTCGTATTACCCAACTAAATTCGAGAAAAATTTAAGACCTTTTCTGAAATTTGTCCAATCCAGAAAAAACAAGATAATTGATCGAGTGTTCATGTTCTATTGTGCAAATTCCTGTTTGGATAATCTGAAATTGTGAATCCAACATCTAGAGGTTTCCCATCCGTAATGCAAATCCAAACCCAACAAACAACCAACAAAGAAAAATGAAACCTTTTTTGGAGTAATCGTCAAAACGGTCAAGGACGTGTCATTTATGAATCTCCTTGTTATTTTGTGTTTCCCTTTTCCCATCTTTTCTCTTTCTTCTCCATTTTTTACCCCGTCAAATTTTTTCATTCTCAGGGTTTGATCTTCAATGGCCTTCTGCTAAAATCATCGTCTTTGATTCACATTGTCAGCCAGGTACTGTAATTATTACCCAAATTTGTTCTTTTTTCGTCCCCACAATTTGCAATGTGCTTGATGGTCTCAAGGCGTACCCTTTTGCATGTTCTTCCTTTCCTTTCTTTTTGGTTCTAACATGCTATTTAGTTTCTCGGCATTGTTTTCGAGTTTTGTAGATCCTGAGGATTTGTTGGGGTCTGTTTGCTGAATTATATTTCAATCCATTTTAGAACATGAAATAATTTAATGATTGATTTTCTAGATTTAATTTAGGAAATGGTTTTGAGTTTGTTTTCTTATCCGCATCAACAATAGTCTCATGCGTGGGTTCGATAGGGTATAACAATTCTTTTTTCATAATTTGATCGAGAATGTGACAACGGTGGAACTTGTTGCTAGTGAATTCTAAGAGTTGTGAGGGGTTAGTGTTGCTTTAGCATTCAATTTGGAATAAAGAGTGTTCAATAATTAAAATCATTTAGATTTTTTATGGTTTCGTGTCACAGATAATAGAGAAAATGGATAGTCCAGATTGCAATTAGTAAGAGTTGGTTTGCAGTATATTCTCTGTTGCGTTTTTTCTTGTAATATGTATGTTTCACTAAGCTGATCGTTTACTCCTCTAACTATTTTGGTTATATCTTTTATGTCAGCCATTTGCTTGATTGAGACCCCCAAATGGTGATATTACATTAGTATAATTTTACCGGTGGGAATGGCTTCAAAAACCTCCTCATTTGCTCCAGCAAGGAGGACATTGACGGGATTCACATATGCTCTAAGATCAGCAGCTTTTGAATGGCTTCTAATTTTCTTGCTACTTCTGGATGCAGTGTTTGCCTATCTCCTGACCCGATTTTCACGTTATTGTAGGCTACAAGTACCATGCCTATTTTGTTCACGGCTAGATCACATATTAGGCAATGAAAAACCTGGGTTTTATAGGGATCTCATTTGCACATCCCACAAGGCTGAAATGTCATGCTTGATTTTCTGCCATAACCATGGTAAGCTTGTTGATGGTCGTGCTATGTGCGACGATTGTCTGTTGTCATACTCATCAATGCTTAAAGAAAAATATGAGATGCAAAGGGTTGTGGTGGGTAACCTTGGGTTTGATTTAGGCTCTAATGGTCCCCCTAACTTGTTCACAAACAAGGATCTCCTTCCTGGTTCAGTTGCCACCAAGTTATGTTCATGTTGCCGTAAGCCTTGGAGGTCAAGGCAGAGAACAGACAGAATCTTGAGACTAAAATCACCTAGAAGTGCTGCCATCTGCAAGCCAAACATTCCTTTACCACACCGTTTGACACAACAAGAGAGCTTGAGGAAGATAAGAGAGAAGTTCTCTGGGTCTTTAACTCCTTGTCGACTCGGGAATATGGGATTTGATTCTTTATCCCATGTGGGCTACACAGAGCTCAAGTTCAATTCTGACACTGAGTCTGAATTTCAGTACTCTGATGATGATGAGTACCATAACTATGGTCAAGAAGTGGATGAGCCTCCTACGGAAGAAGAAGAAAAACCTACAACTCGTAGTGATTCTGATAAACATGTTGACAATGAGATGGATCAACAATCATGGGTACAAGGTATACAACCTTATGTTAAAAATCAAGGCGAGAGAGAAGTATTGAAAGTTGAAAAGGGAAAAGGTCCTTCTGCAAGTCCAGAGTTTGTTTTACTTGAGGATCTTCATCCATCAAACATGGCAGAGGTTCCTCCTATGATGAAACAAGCAAAAAATGAGCAAAACAATCCTTCTGTTCTTACTACTGATTCTTCTGTATTAACAGAACTCATGGCTCTTGTTGACTCTCCTTCGGGTTTAGCTGTTCTAAAAGATCATTTTGAGGCATCAAAAGTTAAAGGTAATGGTCTTCTTTTTATCTTTTTTTCTTAGTCTTTCGACCACTTGTTATTGAAAGAGCATAAAAAAGTAACATAGAAAATCCTGTGACGGGATCATTTGCAGGTTTGAATGAGATTGGAACAAAAGATGAATTCAAAAATAAGGAAAACGTTGTTGTGAAGCCAATAGTTGATGATGAAACGATAGGCACTCAAGTTGGTCAAGTTGCTTATAATGTGCCTTCTACAGAGGTAACTTCTTTGGAACATAGTGAAACACCAAAGGCTAGGATCACTATCCAAGAAAAGGAAGCACCAAAGTTTATGGTAGAAAACCTTGGAAAGAGTGAAATTCACGAGGATTTGAAGCCATCCTCCTCCTCCAGAGAAAGTTTTGCATCGTCAAACGTTAATGTTTCTGACATTCATGATAGTACGAAGGCCCCTGAACTAGTTTTCAAAGAGAAAATTAATGATTCCACTCTAGAGTCCCTTGACACAGTCTTTAATGTGATTGAGGGTGAAAATATAGATGACAGGTTAAAAAGACAAATAGAGCATGATAAGATCCTTATAAGTACATTGACCAAGGAATTAGATGAAGAGAGAAGTGCATCTGCAATTGCTGCAAACCAGGCAATGGCGATGATCACAAGGTTGCAAGAGGAGAAAGCAGCACTGCACATGGAAGCCTTGCAGTACCTACGAATGATGGAAGAGCAAGCTGAATATGATGGCGAGGAGCTGGAGAAAACAAATGATCTCCTGGCTGAAAGGGAGAAGGAACTGCAAGATTTAGAGGCAGAGTTAGAGTATTTCAGGATAAAATATGGAGACGAAGATATAGAGGAGAACATGCCGAATATTGTAATGTCTAGTATGAGTAGGGATGATAACATGGTAGGAGAGAATACTACTAGCTCTAGCTATGCAGAGCATGAGGTTAGTGAGCACCACTCTGGCCCCAACTCTAGAGAGCTCCCAAATGGAAGTGAGAAAGGAGACATATTCACAAAATCTTCATGGCCAGACATTGAAGATGAGAAGTCATTCATTTTCCAGCGGTTGAAGGGCTTAGAGAGGAAGCTGCAGAAATTGTCTCATAGTGCTGCTGCATCACCGTACATGTCTGACAATGAGTATTCTGAAGAAACAACAGATAGAGGAGGAGTAGGTACAGGGGAATTTCTTGTAGGTAATGGAAGTCTCCTTCTACATGAAGAGCCTGATAGGAAATCAGTTAGCAAAGGTAAAACTGTTGTTGACAGCCTGGTCATGAATGGACAAAGAACTTCCAATCCACTCCATGAAACTGATTTGACCACACTTAAGAATGAGATTAGTGACCTAAACGAAAGGTTGGAATCACTTGAAACTGATTGGAGTTTCCTTGAGCATACATTCAACTCCCTTGAGAGTGGAAAGGAAGGGGTGCAGTTTGTTCAAGAAATAGCGCATCGACTTCAGGATTTGCGCAAGATTGGGATGCAGAGTAGAAATCAATCTGTTCCTTGTTAATGAGCATTGATCATTATTCATTGCAAGGTATGGAAATATTTCCATAGAATATTTCATACTACAGAATGTCGTGAGAAACTACGATAACATGATATTCTTAACAAATGACAAACTAATAACATGATATTCTCTTTGTTGTCCTACTAATCGCCAACCACTAAGAAAATTGGTGTTTATGTTCATGTAACCACTTACCTTTTTTCTTCTTGTTTTGAGACAACATATGGTGTAATGGAGACATCGATACTATCATACATACACTGAAGAGACAAAACATATTTGGATTCCTTCTTTCTTTCCTCGTTCTTCTTTACCTTCTGTTTTTTTTCTTCAGTCCTATGTTTCTCTTTGCTCTATAGGGTTTACTTTATAAATTTATCAATTGAATGACTATTATATTTTTTGGTTGGCTTCCTAGTTGAAAAAATTCAATTCTTTTGCAAAAAAAATTCAATTTCTTGGCTAGAGATGCATGGCATCTGTTAAGCATACATAAAGTTGAAAAGGTATAATTCTCGTGTTAGATGCAATGAAGTTTATTCAATTTACCCGAATGAACAAATTTATGATACACGTAGACTTATTTCGATTTTTTTACATGTTATTGATGGAGGTCTTCAGAGGGAAGGTGTCTAACCTAAGATTCAAACATGGAATCTCTAAGTTGAAAACCAGTGGTTGAATCACTATACCATGGGTCTCCCCACAAATTTTTTTTTTCAATTTAAGATATGCGTTAATAATGCTTTATATTTTTCCATTTTTGGGTGAATGTGCGCCAGTGATTGGAATGGTTCCAGCTCAAAGAAAAATGCGAAACAACTTCCAGAATTAAAAGAAGATGATATACTGCGGGTCGTTTGGATAGGATTTTCGTAAATGAAGAATTTGACCCTAAATAACTCATTTAAAAACACAAGTCATTTAAATATGAAATTTTGGTCATATCAATTATTTGATATTGGGTTCAAAATTGTTCAGGGAGGAATTTAAATTTCAAAAGTACTATTTTGCCATTTTCCATATCTTCTTCATTGACACAAAACATACATAATTCCTCTTCTTATGCACCATATTTCTTTTTTGGGCAATGTCTATTTTTTACCCAAACAATTTTCAGATTCTTTTATTTTAACCAAACCTATTGAATTCCTAAAAATTATCCAAACGTTAACTCTCCATCAACTTTTCTGTCAGTAATGCTGACTAAGTATGACCATAATGAGTTGACTTCCTACGTGGCGGTCAGAATACCATCGTTTACTATTTTTAATAAAAAGATTATAAAAAAACAAACAAAATCCCACCTCTCACGTGGACGAAATAAGTAACGGTAACAGAATGAATGCCTAGACTTTGATAAATTATAATACGTTTGGATAATAAATAGAATTTCTATAGGTTTGGTTAAAATAAAAGAATCTGAAAAAGATTTGGGTAAAAAATAGACATTGCCCTTCTTTTTTCTAGGGTTTGTTCAAATGGTTACCATGGTAATTACCAAATCAAACAAGCCTGTATTCTGTTAATCATGGAATACAATATCATAATCAAACCATCCAAACTAATACAAAACTAAATTAACCAAACTAAAGTTTAATCGATTTGATTAATTGGTTAACCAAATTAACCATTACTAGATAAATGGCCCGGGCTCCGCACCGGATATTTTTCATGTATATCATAATTTGAATTTTCAAGTGATCGGAGGCAACTTAAGAATACATGATTCAGTAAATTAAAAGGTGAAATATCAATTAGAGTGGCTAGATTTTGAACTTTACAAAGGAGAAGAGTTGGAAGAAGTAATTTTATCATCTCTATTACGTCATCACTCTACCAAAATTTTATGCTCACAAATTAAATTTTAATTTTAACGATAAATTTGATGAAATCTATTTTGACTTATTCTTCGCAGAGATATGCAAGGTAAGATCGAAGTTCCATTTTGTTCTCCATCTATTAAATTTATATTATCCTTAATATAATTAGTTGTACATCTCATGTTTTTGACTCCCTATAAAATAAGAAAATTATAAAACGTTCTATTTTGTTCTCCATCTATTAAATTTATTCTCCTTAATATAATTAGTTGTACATATCATATTTTGACTCCCCTATAAAATAAGAAAACTATAAATAAATGCGAGCTCTCATATATTTTGTCACTCTCTTTTTTAAGTAGAATGTGATATCCAAACTCATCATTATTTTTAGACATGAAAATAATAAAATTGAAATAATTAGAATTTTATTCCAATTTAGTTTTTGATTTTTACAATTATAATAATGGTTTTTTTTCCAAGTGACATCCACACTACCTATTTACGAAAACTATTTTACTTATAGTTAATAAACTAAACATGCATCATCCTCTCCATAGCCTTTCATTTCATGGACTTTACTTTCCATTTATAAGAATGAAAATATTCATAAATTATAATCAGAGAGAAATTCAAAGTACGGATTTTTTAAATATTCAGAGTATATTATTTTAATTTTTATCTTTTATATTTCTAATGAATTTCAAAATAATAGCCATGGCTATAGCTAAGACTAACGTTCCTCCCAAAATCCTTTAATTCCAACTCTTTTATTCATCTATACACGTGGCCAATGTAGAAAAGGGCCTAAACACGTGTTCCTAATCATATTCTGCACTTCTTATGCTCGACCAGCTGTCCAGTGACGTAAGCTCCAATATATATAAGGCTATTGGACCATACCCATCTTCTCGAACTCTCTAGGCATCTCCACCTTTCATTCAAAACCTCGTAATGGAGAAGGAGAAGACATATTAAAAAAAAAGGAGGAGAAGGAGAAGACGAAAGCATATATGTATGCAACGATTCAGCCGCAATAGTTGATTGCGGAAGTGGTACCATCGTTGGTGTGTAGTGACGAACCCGACATGCATTGACTCCACAATCCTCAGATTGAAGCCTGCTTCTGTCTTTCTATCACGATGTCTCTCCGCAACCAATATCTGGCTTAATTAAATTGCAATTTTGGGATCGGGAATGATGAGGCGTCTGCTTCTGATAATTCTACTATCAGATCTGGGAAGAAAACGGCAGCCCGACTGGCAGGTAGAGCTGTGAGCAAATCGGCAAGTCGCTGGTCGATTTTTAGGAGGGAAATGGAGATCCTGACTCCATAATTTGTCCAAGAGGCCAGCCCCACCGATGGATAGGTTCTGTGGGTGATTTGTAGCTTCCCCCTTCATCTTTTCTGTTGAGGTTGAGTTGATGAGATGGAAAACAAAAAAGAATTGAGAATTTGAGAGTTGATCGAGTTTGTTGCATGTATGGATTATGGGTGCCGCCAGGAAATTCTGTCGTCGGAGGGAAGTGAAGAGGTTTCTGGGACGGGAAATCAAGGGCGGTAGCCGGTAGGAAAAGCGGGTGTAGAAACACTATGATGCACCCGTCCACATACTAGTAGACTACTGGACCCCTTATACCAATTAGGCGCTATTTATATTATAATAATAATATCACATTTTCATATTAAGTGAGAAATATTTTCGGTTAATACATCAATTCTTCGAATACCAAAATAATTATATTTATTCACATCTAATCCCATGACCCGACACATTTTGATTTCTGATTTTCTGCTAACTTTGATTTTCAAATTTTTTTTCCTTTTTTTGCCCCCTTTATTGGTTTCACAGCTTCCCCCTCTTCTTACCGGCGGTCGACGTCCCCGGCTTAAGGGGGTAAAAACACAACCGCATAATATCACCAAAAATGAAACCCTAGACCTTCAGATCCATCCCGAATCCTAATTCCTCCTCCTTCAGAGCATCGTTAAAGCGTTGAGCTCCTCATTTGGAAGCGAAGGTATATTCGTTTGAGTTCTGTCAATTACGGAAGTGGAAGTGGAGAGTTCAATTACTTGCTTTGTGGGTGTTTTTGAATTCAAGTGATAGTCCTATCAACTCGCCGCGACGGATTTACTTAAGAAACTTAGAAATTTTCTGGAGACGTCAGCCGGGGAAAGCGCCAAAGAGGAAGAACAAAATATATGGGTGACCAATTCTGGTCTAATAGCGATGGGAGAGCTATGGTGGAGTCTGTATTGGGTAGTGAGGCTTGTGAGTTTTTAATTTCCTCGGCTTCCAGAGCTTCGTCTGCGGAATTGGCTACCGCACCCGGCAATCTGCGCTTGCAGCAGGGTTTGCGCCAACTTCTGGAAGGCTCTGAGTGGAACTATGTTATCTTCTGGCATGCCTGTGGTTTAAAATCTGGTGGGTTTGTGCTGGCCTGGGGGGATGGGATTTGCCGCGATCCGAAAAGCTGGGTTATTCCTGGAGAAGATAAATCTGGTGGTGGTCATTTGGAAGGAGGGGAGAAGAGGGAAGAGGTGAATAAGCGTGTGCTTCAGAAGCTGCATTCACTCTTTAGGACAACTGGTGAGGGTACTTACGTAGGTAGCTTGGGTGAGATTTCTCAGGTCGAAATGTTTTACCTCACATCAATGTACTTTCGATTCTGGTCTGATTCTGTAGTGGGTCATGGTCCTCTGGAATCATATAGGTCTGACAGATCCATCTGGGTTTCCGATAGGGCTAATTGTTTGAAACATTATCAGTTGAGATCCCATCTTGCTGGAGCTGCTGGGTTCCAGACAGTGGTGTTTGTACCAGTTAAATCTGGCGTTTTAGAAATTGGTTCAATCAAGCAAACCCACGAGGAGTCTGGTCTTGTGAAGAAGGCAAGGACCATACTTGGAAAATGTAACGAGTCCTCCCACTTGAAGGCATGTCCTAAGATATTTGGCCATGAGTTAAGCCTAGGTGGTTCAATGCCAAGGTCTATGAGCATCAGTTTTACTCCTAAGGTTGAAGAGGAATTGGTTTTCAATTCAGAGTCATATACAATTCAACAGTTGAGTACAGGTCAAATTTATGGAAGTACATCGAATGGCTGCCCCGGCGAAAGCAGTGAGGCGAAATTATTTCCTCATATGAACCAAGTGCTTGTTCCTGCTAAAGGCGCTGATTTCGTGATCGCTGGATCGGAGCAGGGCAAAGATGACTTGTCACCTTTGGGTGATGAGCCGAAGCCTAGAAAGAGAGGAAGGAAGCCTGCCAATGGGAGAGAAGAGCCGTTGAATCATGTTGAAGCAGAGAGGCAGAGGAGGGAGAAGCTTAATCAGAAGTTCTATGCTCTCAGGGCTGTTGTTCCAAATATCTCTAAGATGGATAAAGCATCTCTTCTTGGCGATGCCATTACCTATATCAATGGCCTCCATATGAAGATTAAGGTTATGGAAGCTGAGGCAGGGATGGGAAGCAACAAGCATAGTATGGTAAACCCAGAGATCGATTTCCAGCAGAGGCAGGATGATGCAATCGTGAGGGTGAGTTCTTCTCTGGCTGATCACCCTGTTGGTAGAATCATTGAAAAGTTCAGGGAACATCAAGTTGCAGCCCAAGAATGTAATGTATCCTCATCCGAAGACGGTAGGATTGTTCATACATTTTCAGTCCGGACTCAGAGCGGAGTTGCTGAGCAGCTAAAGCAGAAACTGGAAGGTGCCTTTTCCAATGGGTAATACTGTAAACGATCGGTGTAGAATATCTTAGTCCGACAGACGGACACCTGCATTTACTGGAAAGGAAATGAATTTATTGCCTTGCTTTCCTACTGCCCAAGCCATGTATTCGCAGTTATCAGCAGTGATGGTGGATATGTGTACTCTCTAATCTTGTTATTGTTGACCTTTGATTAGCTGCAAATAGGAATCATGTTTATGCTCTTATAGTTTGATGTAAATGTTTCAGTTTTGTAAGCTCTCTGAATCAGAAAACTTGATATGCTTTGCTTCGTTGAACCAGGTGAAATCCTGAGACCACACGATCAAAACTCCGATGTGGTTTATTGTGTTGTTACTTCCTGGGACATCAAGGGGTTATAAAAATGAACATTTTCTGGGAGCTGTTAGGTTGTTTTTGTGGGCTTCATTTGGGAGCAAGTGTGACAGGAACGGAAAGCGTTATGACTCGATCTGATGTGTTTGATGGCTCTCTCTCGTTTTTTTTTTATCAGTGTATACCATGGTGTTATTGTTTGATATTAAAATAAGAGCATACCATATGATATGAACAGCGTACCATGGTGGTATGAACATACCAAGATTATAGGATGGTTGAATACATGATAGTAGTAGTATACTAACTATCATTTACGATTTTCAACATTGTGTACCACAAGATACCACCCCCATAACATAGTGGTATTTTTTGGTTCTCTATATTTTACACCAAATTTTTTTTAGATCCAATAAATCATTATTAACTTGTTCTTTCTGTGCAAAAATTTTCAAAATCGACTTGAAAACGAAAGAGATACCATATTGTATGGAGTTTGTAACGAGATGTATGGAATTTTTTTTCTCAAGAAATATTGAAAATGGATCTCATTTTTGTAGAGCACAACAAACTCGTTCTATTTGTGCAAAAAATTGAAATCTGAGTTAGAACGAAGAAGATAAGAGCTGACTAAGAAAACTAGGAAAAATAAAGTGTCTTTAACTCTCAATTCGTAGATATGAATTTGGTGGGCCCACTAAAAAAGGAATGTCCAGATTTAGTTATTCAAGGTGCATAACCCTTCTCGAGCCCTCTTTCCATTCCCTCTCTAATATATCTATTTTTATAATTATTCCTAACTATTTGATGAACCTTAGTCATGTTATAGAGCCGAATGTTAGGAATTGATGTTTGAATGATTCATATGTGATTACACTATTCATTATATAGTGAATTGAGATATTATTATGAAATTGTGTGGGTATTGATCATTCTGCCCAATTTGAGGCTATTAACCTAAGGTAGAGAATGTTCAATTATGTTGATTAGATCATCCTTCAATTCTTCATTGTGGGTCAATTGATCGAGCGTGATATTAGACTACAAATGTCGTATTGGATCGACATCCTTTAGTAGGAGCCGAATTACATGTCTTAGTTGTTCTATTTTGACGGATGTAGAAACTCTCCTTGAGGGCAGTTCATATTAAGTGAGCTTGGATAACTCGAATAGGGTGTTCAAGCGAATTTAGGACTCTCTGTGATATAAATCTTGAGTGGGCAAGCTAGGAACGTCAACATCGACTCGGTTAGTGGGTAGGGGGAATCAATTCCTATTTGAGCTCCCAACTTGTAATTTAGCTAATGTAGTTTAGTTTCTTAATCTCAATCTTGTGTGGACGGAGAACAAATCGAAACAAAGTAATGGTACATCTAGAGACCAGTGGATTTGATAATTTTATTACTTTATTTCACCCGGTCATTGGTTATGGTTGACCTTTGATTGGAAGAGTAGTTTAAACCAAGTCAAATATACTAATTGCATTTACCACCTTTCACAACCGTATATATGGTGTTATATTTGTCCTTGAAATTTTTTCTCGGAAATTTCTAGATCCAACAGGTCACGATAAACTAGTTCCTTCTGTGCAAAATGTTTCAAAATTTGAGTGAAAATAAAGGTGGTACTGAGTGATACTTGGTGGCAGCAGATTGGTAACGAGTGGAATGAATTTTTTTTCACAAACTATATTCAAAATTGGCATCATTTTGAATATCATAATGAACTTATTCCATCTGTAAAAAAAATTGGACATCAATTTAAAATAAAGAAGATATAATCCAATTAAAAAATAGTGAAAATAAGAAGTATTTTAATCTCAACCCTTACACCAGGCCCAACTCTAAAGGACGAGATGTGGTTATGCATTTGTGCATAATCAATGATTATGAACCCTATCATTGACCATGCTAACTGGACTTAATCTTCGTAAATAGAGTTTTAGATTGTTTTACGGTTATACTCAAGGATTGAGACTGTTTTGGGTTTAAACACTTGGAAAATTAAACATCGATAAGTTTGTAGAAGTTAGCACCATGCTAAGTATGAGTTGCGGTAGTATAATCATAGTTGAAAGGCTAAGGTCACCTAGTGACTTATTTGAAACATATCTCCAATTAATCAAAAGCTTATTGGACACATTTAGTGAATTTGTGAATTCCCGTACTATTCTTTACCCTAATCTAGAGACTACATGGCTCTATCTCTAACGATTATGACGAGAGAGATTGCGCTAGACCTTCTATATAGATAATGTAAAAGAAATCTCTTTTAAATCATATGAAACACGCAAGCATGAAATATACTATTTATATAAAATATAATAACTATTATATAATGTTCACGTCATGTTGTTTATTTTATGCAATAATTATAAAATATTATGTTATGTAAAGTACAAAGACATTACGAAAGAAAAAAAAAAATATAAGTTGAGAGAAATCTAATCAACTTGTCGACATCAGCTCAGACATCAAGTTGTCTCTTTTTATTTTGGAAAAATTCCCCTCAATAAGCTCAACTTAGTCTAGTGGATTAGGCTTCCTTTTGAGTGTTTTATCATATTTTTGAATTTTATATTGGAAAAAAAACTATTTGTGTTGTGGGCATGTCACTATTCCTTTTTTTTTTGTTTTACAAGTAAACTTTTTGAAAGGTATATACTATTAGAAAAGAGAATGGAGAAACACCACAAAACTAGCGACATCCAAGGTCACTCATTCGCCAAAATTTCTAAAGTTGCCACAAAAGGCACAAAACTTTCCACTAAAAGAAATCTTACAACCGCTTTCAATTCATAACCCTAAATAATGAACAAAAAAATATGCAAACACTAGTCAATCATTTCGATTGCCGTACCTTCACTTAAAAAATATGAATATCCTTCCTTATGCTTTTCATGGTCATTTTCCCTTCTCTTTGACTCTTGTGGAACCTCTTTGAACAATATCAAATTTTGTTTAACCCAAAAAGATAGAGACAAATATTATCTGAGTTACGAACTCAATTGATTCATAAAAAATTCATATGTATCGAGGAAGTAACGATCAAATCCAGGTGATGATCATCTAGTGAAAAAGATTACAAAAATGGTAACTTTGTCTTCTCTTTTGCGACCCCCCCCCTTCAATTATGTGTATTTTAGTTTGAAATTTCATTGAACATCTACATTTGTTCTTATTGCCTGGAGTAATTTTGGTTTAGGTTTGAATCCCTATGATTGATATGTCATCTAACCTTTTAATTATTTTATATATGCTGTGGAAGTTAGATTTTTGCCATTATTAAATGTTACAGCAGTTTTATGAATTGATGCTAAGAAATTCTGTTTATGGCGGACAATTTTTCTTTTGTTTGAAGCTTCTAACCCGAATCAGATTCAAACTTTACATTTATTTATGGTGTTATATGTTAGAATCCTTTCAATATAATTGCAGATAAAAATCTTGATCCATGTTATCCTCGTTAATTAATAAATTATTTAGCTTCTTCCGTAATAGGTTTGCAATGAATTTTACGATAATTAACCCAAACTAGGGATAATATTGCCAAATTAATTTCATGCAATTATGTTGCTATACTCTATATGAAAATATAGACGAAACTATTAGTTTAATTAGTTTATTCCTTTTAGGGGGTGCCACAAACCATAGATGTTGGTTCTCATGTGTGGCTTGAAGATTCTGAACTTGCTTGGGTAGATGGAATTGTGTTTAGCGTCACAGGACATGATGTTGAAGTTCAAACTAGTGATGGAAGAACTGTAAGTGATATTTTTTTTTGTTATGTAACATCAAAACTAGTTTTATAGGAAAAGATAGAACTAGTGTTTTCTTGCAATATCTATTTATGCCACTTTTTGTCGTTCATTATATTAGGTTGTGGCAAAGTTCTCAGCATTACATCCTCGGGATGCAGAATCTCGAGCTGGAGGAGTTGATGACATGACTAACCTCCATTACTTGAATGAGGCTGAAGTCCTACATAATTTAGCAACAAGATTTCAGATAGATGAAATATATGTACGTTTCCCCCTTACAATTTTATGACAAATCTCTGGCTCTCGATTGATATTTAACATCTTAAGACAGTAAACTAACTGCTACTACAGTTAAAGGCATGTGTGTTATAATGTTAATTGATATCATGCATGACAGACTTACACGGGGAATATTCTTATTGCTGTCAATCCATTTCAAGCCCTTCCACATTTATATGAACCTGCGGTGATGAAACGATATAAAGAAGCAAAAATGGGAGAGCAGGCCCCTCACGTTTTCACCATTGCTGATATTGCATACAGGTGAGAATATCTTAGCCTGGTTATCAAAGGATGAAAAAGGTTTTTTATATGCTATCAATAACTCACATTCCCATTTTACGACAGAGCAATGATTACTGAAGGTAAAAGCAATTCGATTCTTGTTAGTGGTGAAAGTGGAGCAGGAAAAACTGAGACAACTAAGAATCTAATGTGTTACCTTGCCTATCTTGGGGGAAATTCTGCTGCAGAAGGACAGACTATTGAACAACAAGTTCTAGAAGTAAGTAGGAACATATGATTATTCCCAACCAAAGGCTAGTTTAAAAATTGGAAGTTTGGAATAGTGATTATGTTGTCATATTTGGAATGCTCAACATACTTATTCTTCCCCCTTATTCTTGTTGAGGCAATCACTATAAAAAAACTAGGCTAATAGCTTTTCGATACAACTCCTTCCTTAATATGGATTGTATGATTAGGATATATATGTTGGATAAATTTGAAACTCTCATACTAACAAGTATTGTGCAGTCAAATCCAGTTCTTGAAGCGTTCGGCAATGCAAAAACAGCTAGAAACAACAATTCTAGGTGAGACATGTACCATTTCATTTCTTATAGACATATAAGATCTTCAAAGAACTCATATATATTTTGACAATGTAGTCGTTTTGGGAAATTTGTTGAGATTCAATTCGACAATGTCGGAAGAATTTCTGGGGCTGCAATCAGAACGTATCTTCTTGAGAGGTCACGTGTATGCCAAATTTCAGATCCTGAGCGTAACTACCACTGCTTTTACCTTTTATGTGCAGCACCAAAAGAGGTAGATCAAAGTTAATTACTTTTTTAGCTAAATGTTTGTTCTTCAGTTGGTATACTCAAGCTCAAGTGTTGCTTCTTTCTCAATTAATTAGGAGATAGAGAAGTACAAGCTGGGAGATCCAAAATCATTCCACTATCTTAACCAATCCAATTGTTATCAATTGGTTGGTGTGAACGATGCAAACAATTATCTAGCCACTAGGCGAGCCATGGATGTTGTTGGGATAAGCGAGGAGGAACAAGAAGCCATTTTTAGAGTTGTCGCTGCTATTCTTCACTTGGGTAATATAGATTTTGGAAATAATGAAGGAGACCCTGAATCATCAGTTTTAAAAGATGATGATTCCAAATTTCATCTTGACATGACTGCACAACTCCTCAGGTGAATGAGAAAAACTATAAATAAATGAATGATTTGATATCCATTCTAGAATCTCTTGAAGCAAAACTCAAACTATTATGACCAACTTCCTTTTGACATGATATTAGACCCTAGTTATTAAGAGAGGTTCCATAATGAACTTTTACCATTCTATTAAGAAACCTCTTAATCAATATTTTTTTTCTTTCCGTTTTAGTCTATAAGTATCCTTTTGGTTTTTAACAAGCATTTTTGTGTGTATGCTTTTAGGTGTGATCCTGAATCGTTGGAAGATGCATTGTGTAAGCGCAAAATGATAACGCCAGATGATGTTATCAAGAAGAGTCTTGATATTAGTGGTGCTATAATTAGCCGGGATGGTTTAGCAAAGACTATATATTCTCGCTTATTTGATTGGTCGGGTTCTAACTCTTCATTTTTTGTTCCATTTATACGTACCTTATCACCATTTAAAAGTTAGAATTTATTTTATACCCAGGTTGGTCGACAAAATAAATGTGTCCATTGGCCAAGATCCTAAGTCCAAGTGTCTGATAGGGGTTCTTGATATTTATGGCTTCGAGAGTTTTGAATCTAATAGGTAAGAACTAAGCATGTTTAACTACTCAATTTTTTTCCCCGTTCTCAATATCCTAGATGAATGCACTTTAATTTTGCACCATCTTCTACAGTTTTGAACAGTTGTGCATCAACTATACTAATGAAAAGCTACAACAACATTTCAACCAGGTAGGATAAAGGATCTACAAACGTCTTATTGAAAAATAAAAATTGACAGATTCTAAAGTATGTTCATGTGTAATAACTTGATTTGAGTGTGTATTTTGCAATTTGAACCAATTTTTTTTCTGTTTTTGTTTTTTATATACAGCATGTATTCAAGTCAGAACAAGCAGAGTACACAAAGGAGGAAATTGATTGGAGATACATTGAATTTGTTGACAATCAAGATGTTCTCAGTCTTATTGAGAAGGTTTATATGCATTTCTTACTTCCATTTATGTTTTCATTGCTTTTAGATAAGCTGATGGTGGTTTTTCGCTTTATAATTTTACTAAATCACTGTACTATTACAGAAAACTGGCGGGATAATTGCTTTACTTGATGAGGCATGGTAGGGTTTACATTGCTGCTAAGTATTGCAACTCCAAGATCGTTGGCAAGATTCCCTAGGTTTTCCCTTACTTAGATTTCTATCTATTATATGGTGCAGCCTAGTACCAAAATCAACTCATGAGACATTTGCGCAAAAGCTGTATCAAACATTTAAAGATCACAAACGATTCATAAAGCCAAAGTTGGCTCGATCCGAGTTCACCATTGTTCATTATGCAGGAGAAGTGAGTATTTCTTATCCGTATCTTATTTTACTCGTACATTTTAGTATTCTTGCACTAAAATAGTATCATTTGCATGCATATGTATGGTTTTAGGTACTCTATCAATCAGAACAATTTTTGGACAAGAACAAAGACTACGTTGTTCCTGAACACCAAAACCTGTTGAGTGCTTCACAATGCTCTTTCATACAACGTCTATTTCCTTCCTTATCAGAGGAAACCAGCAAACCATCCAAGTTCTCATCTATTGGTTCTCGGTTTAAGGTCATCTCTTCAATTGCCACGAGCATTTATTGGCATTTTATGTTCATTCTGTTTCTTATATTTTCCCTGACATGCAAAACTTTACTTAAATGAACCCCGCTTGATGATGCAGCTCCAATTGCAACAGTTGATGGAGATTTTGAACTCGACAGATCCTCACTTTATTAGATGTGTGAAGCCAAATCATGTCTTAAAGCCCTCAATCTTTGAGAATCTTTATGTCATGCAACAACTACGTTCTGGTGTGAGTACAATGATGAGAACTTCCGCATAATTTATACACGCCAATGACCGTAACATGCAATCTTCCTCCTCCTCTTTCGATTTGGGCACACTTAAGATCAAAAGTTATTTTCATAATATTGTTGATGTTTCTTTAGGGAGTTCTAGAGGCAATTCGAATCAAATGTGCTGGATATCCTGCTCATAAGACCTTTGAGGAGTTCTTAAATCGATATAATATAATTGCCCCAGAGGTTTTGACCAGAAGGTGATTATCATCATACACCATTTCATATTAGTCATGCTTCACCTTAATTATTGATTGGGCTTTCGAATTTACATTTTGACTATTTTCTTGCTTGAGTAGTTATGAAGAAAAGGTAGCTTGCAAATGGATATTAGAAAAGTCAGAGATTACTCAATATCAGGTACAACAACATGCAAGCTTAGCTATCAGCTAAATCTCGTACAATATATTCAGTAACATGGCCTTTACATGTCTGCATGCAGATGGGGATAACAAGAGTATTCTTAAAAGGAAATCAGATGGCAGAGTTAGATGCTCAAAGGGCAAGAATTTTACGAAACTCAGCCTCAGTCATTCAAAGACGAGTTAGAACACGTTCAACACGTAAGAAATATGTTCTCATGCGCCAATCTTCTATTCACATACAATCTCAGTGGAGAGGTGAGTTGGTCAAGCTATCTTTACTTATTTATATTAATAGATGGATGCTCGAATGAATCGTAATGTAAATCATTTTATAGGATACCATGCTCGAAAGTCCTACAAAGAAATGAGAAAGGAGGTTGCTGCTGTTAAAATCCAGAAGAATTTGCGGAGGCAAGTAGCTAGGAGAACATACACGAATATGAGGTCTTCTGCAGTTATACTACAGTCTGCTTTACGAGCTATGGCTGCTCGAGAGTACTTCTATAATAAATTGGTAACCAAGTCAGCAACCAGGATCCAGGTCATTCACGTACCTAGTTCAACTAATTAACTTCAATGCCATTTTCGGTCAGAGTTAGCCTCTTATTGGTTAGTTTTGCCCATGCATATAATTACATTTAACTTATTCACAGGCTGTTTGGCGCCGTCGTAAAGCCGTTCTAAACTATGTGGAACTCCAAAAAATTAATTCCGAAAGAGCTGCTCTAGCTCAACAATCTCCTGTAGGGACTTCAAAAAGCATGCTTGTTGAAACAGAACAAGTCATTCATGAACATGGCCAAGATAATGGAGTTGGAGAGAACAGATCATATACTGTAGTTGAAGAGCCTGCAACTTCTCATGATGGTTCTGATGGTGAAAGAGCTAATTCTAATGTCGAAAATTGGAAGGTTAGGTTGCTGATCACATTAGCAAAAGGGAAAGAAGCTATATGATCATAATTCATCCAAATTCTCAAATTTATTTCTTCTATATATAGTTCTTGCTTTGGGCAGAGAAGCAACGAGCAGATAATGCAGAAAGAAAATACGAGGAATCTGTGGAATTGTGCGAGAGAAGGCGTGTCAAATTAGAAGAAACAGAATTCAGGGTTTACCAACTTCAAGCCTCTTTCAACAGGTAGTATGATGTTGTTAAGTACAAAAATTAATGACTTGTGGCTAATACTCAATTCGATTTAGTGTGTCTCAGGATGTTAAACTCCATATCAGAACAATTCACAGAGCTGAAAGAGCTATTGAATCATTCTAACAACTCTGCGTCTACTTCAGGAAGCAATGGTATGCACGAGAATCTAGCAAACATGGTGCCTTCTAATAGGTTCTAATACATGAGCAAAATGATTCTAATTTTTTTTCCGACATACTCGATTCCAGCTCCTGCATCTAAGTTTGCTGCTCTCAGAAACCGAAATGCGTTCAGGGCTATAGTGCAAACTCTTTCAGAGACAGAAGGCATAGGTGAGTAGCAGTTTCTTCATGGGGTGATAAAGCTGCAAAACTACACATGACTAGAATTGATTATATATACTTTCCCTTGATTTTTTCATTTTATGCAGGACCAGGGAAGGCCAAGAAAAAGGACGGAGCATTTGATGACTACTTTTGATGAAACACAATATTGGTCAAAGATATCAACGAGAAGTTCTTTGACATTACTCACTAGTTTAGTGTCGTACATTGAGATTTCAATAGTATTTAGGTGATCTTGCCAAATAGATGGACATACTCTTTTATCATGACTCGTGGCTAACATAGAGTACAGTCTAATTAAAAAACTGTACAAAGAATTTTGTGAGAAATCAATATATATCAATATGCAATATGCAATAATCAGATTACAGTACTGTGAATCATTCATTACCTTTCTTCCTTGTGTACTTTTCCTGGCTAAAATATAGTAAATGGCGTGATCTGCACTCTTCTCCATAACATGTGAAGGGAACCCTCAATTGTATCGAGGAATGTGTATGAGTTGCAACGACCATGAGAAAGTATACTTGGCGGGTGGTCCAGAACATGGCAAATTTAGCAGCCCTCTTAGCTTCGATGAATATGTGTTGAATGCGTCCCTATCCCACTAGGTAAGATACTCTACATAACGCTTATACATATCTATATATTTTTCAAGATTGTGACTTGAATCTTTATTGTCTAATAATGGTTAGAATAAGGAAAGTGCCTACTCTATTCTCAACAACTGATCAAACTCTTCTAACAAACAACATCCCTAATGCGACACATTCTAGTATGATTGATTGCATGTGGATTTTGAAAAGTATCATTAAGATACGATGAAATGTTTGGAAGTATGCTTATCATGGTTGTTGTGTGAAGTAACTTTTGTTTTTGCTTTTCTTTGGTATTGTATGGTTTCGTGGGTTGGATGAAGTTGTACATCTCAAAAATTGTAGGGAAGGTACCTTATAGAAATAGATATATTTTTTATTTTTAGTTAAAGAATAAATACAAAGAGTCAAAGATCTTACTATAGATTTCCTCCTTGTATTATTAGACATACATATGTAATACAAATGACAAGCAGGGGAGGAATGAGGATTTGATGATATGGGTTCAAAGATTTTTTTTTCTATAGGTAATTTTCATTTTCTTCAATCCCACATGTTTAACAAAATATGCCATTGAAAACAACCAATCCAACATTCCCTTCTGCTCCAACAAATTACCACTAGTTGTTCAACAACCATTGTGAAAAAAATCCAAACTTCTCCAACTAACTACCAACAACACTCAGTTTAACATTAGATCCAAATCACTAGCTAGAAAAAGCTTTCCCAAGACAAGATAAGTCAGATCTTGACTACATATAACCTTCATAACCTCTCAGCTTTGTGCAGAGCCTCCAAAACCCTATTGCATTATTCCAAACAAATATGCCTAATTAACCATGTCCCAAGAAACCCACAGATCTTTCCCATTGCACCTCCTCATGCCCCAACATTTATTTCTACTTCAAGCCTTCCTTCCCAGCTAGAGAAATCAAAACAGAAACCCACATCCGAACATACACCAGGAGCAAGAGATTGACCATAATGATGACACATGAAAGTATTTATTATAGACCCATATATTGTGACTCAAAGTACATACCTTTCCCATAATTATCTTCATAATACACTGAATGATTGATATGCTTACTTCAAGTGCATTCTGGAAACCCTTGAATTGCTTATATACGATTGATGTGCTATTGGTAGCGTATTGTGCAATTTCAAGGAAAAGCAGCCTATTGGGCCACTTGAAATCCGTAAGGGACATCGAGGCCAAGTTGTTGAAGCAAGGATTCAAATACCGGACGTAAAGGAAAAAAGGCGCCCACGACACCGTTTTAGTGAAGATAAAAGGCAGCCATGATGCCAATTTTAGAGAGTCGTTCACCTCGTCAGGAAGTTATCTCGGAGCATCCTGATTCGCTGGCCACATGTTTGGAGCGGTCTGATTGACTATGAATACCTTGAAAATTTTATCCTCAATTCAGCAAATTGGGAATTCCCATCCTAATTTTCAAGGTTTGCCTCATGCCCGTGAGGCGCTCTATGAGAAGGACGAGATGATCCTCCAAAGCCAGTCACTTGTGTATTATGTGTCCAGGGAAGAATTTTTTGTATGCATATGCGCATATAATTCAAATGTCGAATAATGTCACACACCCTAAGAAAATACAAAGTTCGTCATACTTTGAATTGCTAGTCTGTGCGTTAATATGTGATCTAAGGGAGGCTAGTGTAGGGGTTTTGAAGGATGTCCTTGTCACGAAACTTGGATCCATCTTGAAATAAAAATATATGGAGTGGTGCTTCCTACCATTCCTTGTGAGTTCTCGAACTCCTCCTCATAGGAAGGAGTCTTCTGCATTTAAAGAAAAAATGGGGTCAATATTTATCTTTGTAAAATCGATATCCTACCACTTATAGTCTACTTCAATAGACGATGCTATCACAAATAAAGTGTGTGGTAAAATCCAAGTGTGAGGCGTCCTGCCCATGAAAAACAATTGGTTTTGGAAGAGATACTAGTTCAGTCTTGGTGGGGCAGGCCTATGAGATGATGCTAGTTCCTCTATCGTACTAGTAAAATTTCCACCACTATGATAGGATTGCCAATTTGTGGATGTGTTTTCGATGGCGCAGATAAAGCTTCTGACACCCCTTGACTTCATTGACCCTCCGCACGATCGAGGAAAAGGAGCAAGTGCTTTTGCTTGATCAGGCTTGCTAAGTACAAAAGTACAAGGCGGAAACCTCCTTCTGCATATAAAGAAGCACAAAAAGTGCAATGTGGCACGACAAGATCACCTTAATATGAAAAATGTCAAAATGACTTCAGTGGGCAAAAATGCAAATACTTCCTAATAAAGCTTCATAGGCTTCACCTTAATATTTATAAAACAAGACTCAAGAAAAAAAAGAACTTCATCTTGTGAAAAGCGAATCATTTTCCTCTTAAGAGGTACCTTTGAGCATCATTGCCAAGATCAAAGGTTTCTAAGTGCAAGGGTTAACCTTGTAAGCTTCTTATGATCCACTACCTAAGATTGGAAGTCACGTGTCATCGTGAAGACCTAGTAAGGAGAAGGATGTTGAGCCTAGGTTTTTCTTAGGAACAAGCAAAGATCAAGTGTTGGGTTATTTGATGACATGTGAAAATATCTATTATGGACCCCCGGATTGTGGCTCAAAGTGCATACATATTTCCATCACTATCGTCATAATACATTGAATTATTGCTATGATTTCTTCAAGTGCATTCTAGCAACCCCATGATTGCTTTTATAGGATTGATGCGCTTTTGGTAGCATTTTGTGCATTTTCATGGAAAAGCAGCCTAGTGGGCCACTTCGAAGCTGTAAGGGACATCCAGCCCAAGTTGTTGGAGTAAGGATTTGAAGACCGGATGTCAAGGAAACAACGCTTTCCTTCTCTACTCTCTCACTTTTCGACTAGCGTAGATTTACTTTTCTGCGCCTGCTTTACTTTTCGAAATCCTACGTTCTGCAAAACCGGTGGATCCTCAACTCCTAAACCGACCTCTTCTTCAATAGAACCGTGCCTCGCTTATGAAGTAAGGGTTTTACGAAGCCCCAGAAATAAGATCCTAGCCTTAGGGCCAGTTAAATTTTGTAGACACTACAATCGACACCACATAATTAACTAGAGGTGTCAAAACAGAACCCGAGCCGATTAACCCGCCTGACTAACCCGACCCACAACCCGTCCGCAATCCGAATTGACTATAATTCGATAATCCGCAACTTGATTGACCTGATTAACCCGTAACCCGACTAGCCCGCAACTTGATTAACCCGAACCCGATTGACCGCAACCCGATTAAACCCATAACGCGATTGACACAAACCCGACTAACCCAAAATTACTATATTATATATTATATAGTTTCAAAATGAAGTTTGTTTCTTGTAAGTCTAAGTAAAACTATTTTTCATTTTATTAAGGAAAGTTCAAAAAGTGAAATTGAGTTGAAAAATTATGCATTTTTCATAAAAGAAAGAATGTAAAGTTTTTGTTTCCAACTTTTTGGGAATAAAACGCAGTGGGAAATTTAGTGCTTAAATTTTTGGGAGAAGAAAGAATGGGAATGGTGCTTTGATTTATAGGAAGAGAAAGAAGTGGAAAATTTTGATGTTTTAAACTTTTTGGAGAAAAAAAAGAGGGAAATTTGGTGATTCAAGTTTTGGGAAAATAAATAAGGGGTAGTTTTGGTGATTTATAGGAAGAGAAAGAGGTGGGAAATTTTGGTGTTTTTATTTATGGATTTTTTTTATGCATATGATGGTTTAGTAGTTTAATTAATTATCAAAATGTTTACATATGATGATTTAGGAGTTTAACATTTAGTGACTAAAATATTGTCTATAGCAAAACTTACTATAGTCTTACAGGGCTTGACTAATTTGATATAGTAGATTTGAGAACATGTAATAAGTTATCCTATCTTAAATGCATATTAGTTCACATTTGGGTGGTAAACATAATCTTACTTGCTATTTCTCTCACCATATTTTCATTTAGGTGGAAAAATTTCCCCCCTTATTTTGATATTTTCATCCCAACGTTTCACTTTTCCAATTTTTTCCCTCGCCACTTTTCGTTCTTCTCATTTTGCTTTCCCTCTACAATTTGTCCCTACCAAAATGAAATTCTAAGGAGGAAAAATTTCATCCAATTGGACGCACCAATGTTTTAATATCATCTATTATTAAGCCCAATTCCCATCTCCCATAAGCTGGTGTTTCTTACATTAGTGTCTTGTCTAGATTTTACATATGTAAATAAATTAGGATTATTAATTAACAACGCTTGCAAAATTTAGCCATGAAAGGTTTCGTGTCCTGAAGGTCAGGTTGTGGTGGATGTGAGCAAGTCCAAATGCACTTGTAGGAGGTGGGAATTAACAGGTTTGTCATATCCTCATGCTATACGCTGCATATGGCAACTATCCAAAAAGGTTGAGAACTACGTGGACAAGTGTTATGAGGTTGGATCTTACCTTGCAGCTTACTCTGGTTGTTACAGACTTACAGCAACTTGCATCATTTTCAGGTGGTTCATGTAAACACCTTCCATATTTCCAGGCTTCTCCTGTTTGTTAATGAACAAATTGCAGGCTTACTTTGTTTGTTAATCAGATTTCATATTTCTAGGGTTCCAACAACATGCTTAGTAATGAAGATAGACAGTTGAACTTAAACAACATGCACATTTTCAGGTTCCCACTTCATTACGTGTTCCATTATGGAACTAACCATACATGTGCCCATTTCATTACACGTTCACAAACAGATTCCCACTTCATTACATGCTCCCAAACAGGCAAGACATCACACTCCTTGCCAATAGAACTCCAATAGCAATAAAAAAGCATTTGACGATTTCATTCACAAATGGGTTGTGATTCATCCTCCTCTCTGATCCTCTTGTGTAGGCCAAGAACAAGACGCTTAATATGATCTTCAAGTGGTGGGTCGATACAACGAAAATAATTACATGCATTTGGTCGCTACAAATAAAAAAAGAGATGAAGGAAGTAGAGATTACAAATTAGTGACAATGTTTGGAAATGTGTCGTGAAGGCCAAATTGAAGAGCATGGAAATTAGGTTAGAGAATCGTACCCCATAGTTGGCACAACTAAAGAACCGTCTTTCCAGGATTGGAATCAGTCCACGAGGTCCGGAGAACCGCCAGAATAGCGCACCGACACATTGGACATGTTGCCACCATTTCGAACTTAGGGGAGGGAGCCGAAACCAGTAGAAGAGAAGGAGATTGAACAGAAGAGGAAGGAATTTAGGTTAGAGAAGAGAAGAGTTGAGAAAAGCTTTGGGAAGAGATACCTTTTATTGGATCAAAATGAGGAAGAAGAGTGTTGTTGGGAATTTAAGACGATAAGGAATAGCAGGAGAAAGAGGTATCCCTGGCTTTCGTGTGGCGTGACTCAGCACCTATGCTGACATGGAATGACAACGTGTCATGGAAAATTATAATTTGAGTACTTGCCTCTAGCTGTTTGGACGGAAATGTTTACGATGCAACCATAACGTGATTGGTATGCATTAGTTGAAACAAAAACGGATTAAATGGTAAGCGTGCAACAGATGACACAATTAAGTGGCATCCGGTGCATTTAACCCTGGTCAATAACAATAACCCAATGCATAACCCAGTCAAACCCCGCCATATCAGCGTGCCTTTTCTCTTCTGGAAAAGCCTTTAATTTTCCCTCTTTTAATTTTTAACGGACGATTTCTCACTCGTTTTAAGTCGGAATTTAAATCTTTTTGCACAGTTAGATCAGATTAATTGTGCTGTTCAAAATAATATCCACTTTGATATTTTTTTGAACAAAAAAAAAATGAGCTAGTTATTACCAGTCTATACTATGTGGTATTGACTGGTATTAAATAAGAGCATACCATATGGTAGGAAAAATACCACCCCGTACCATTGTGGTATAGTATGGTAAGGAGTTGGTAACGAGAGGTATGAAATTTAATTAATTAATTAAACTATCATAAGACTCAATTGTTATACTTTACTTCTCGCATCAATGTAGTATTACAACTCAATTGACTAACTCTAACAGTTTTACCATTTGTAGAATTTTGTAGATTCAATTTACCATTTGTTGATTCATTGTTTATTGCATATACATTCTCTCTCCTAGTTCTTTCGGTCTCATTGGTCATGTATATCTTCGTGATATTCGAAGAGAGGTGTGAGCACACTTTTAATCGACTGGCACACTTTTAACCAAACCAAACTAATTATCTCAATTAACCAAATACTGCCGGTTAAAACGGTTACCACACTAATTTAACACCCCTAGGCCCTAGACATCCCCACCTGCTAAGATGACTTCAATGAGAAAAACAGTATGTCCCTTTCAAACAAACTTTTTACACGATGGATGATTTAACATAAACACGAGGCAAACAAACTTTTTACGGCCAACCAGCATCCACGAATTCGTTTATGTATTGCAAGCTGAAAACTATAAAGCAGTCTGGAAGGATATGCATGTTGTAACAACAATACAAAATAGGCTGAGGGCTCCTGCAATCTTGTTCACCTAGTAAGATAGTATACAATGAGGAATACTGCCACAAATGATGCGACTAGCGTGAGCATTCTCCTGCTTGATTTTGTTTCAAACACCTAAGCCACATCAAACCACCATCATCAGCAAATTGTTGGTAGCAGGTAAACGTTAGGAAATACCAAAAACAAATCTGAAATCCCTGTTATTGCAGAAGTGATCAAGCGTCCACATACCATCTTGAAACGATCCATTGTTCCTGATAGGACTCCTCGGGATGAATCCATATCGTTGCCCTGAATGCACACAATCGGAGGTTACTACGTGGATAAACACAAATATAGAGGACATAGACCATCCCATGAGAATTTTATAACTGAACGATGATTACCATTCTGTCTAGCATGCGGTTGTGGCCTTCCACCTCTTCATTTATATCACCAGATAGCTACCAATGTCAAAAACAGAATACATTAAAAACAAGTAATTTCAGCTTTCAGGTAGACTACTGTCTTCATGCCATTGATCAAGCATTCTACAACTTCAACTCAACTTCCAACTTCTGGGTTGTGATCCAACTATTTTAAGACTGTGTTCCGTTTGGCATCCAACAAGAACTACTCTTGCTCATTCAAAAATCAAATCATGGGACTGTGAAAGTCAAAAGCTGAGAAGCCCATGGAATGAGAATTTATTGCGGGCGAGTCAGAAGAAATTAATGGCTCAATTCAATTCAGGCAAAATGAACATCAAAATTATACATCGTCAATCAGACTGCTATAGGTTAAGAAACGCATAATCATCAGAGTTTACTGCCTGAGCAATATTACTAACCCGCTTCAGGAGACTGACTCTGTCTTGCAAACCTTCAAGAGCACTTTCATTATCTTGCTCGTCAATTTCATGGGAGTAAGAAGCAGAAGCCCTGATACCACCCTCCTCAATTCCATCAAAAAGTGCAGTTCTGTTGTTCCGGATGTCCCTGCATAAGGGTATAACTTGAGTCAATAAATGGAATAATACATCACAGCAAGGAGTACACATTTGCTCTATGTTGAGTGATACACCTAAACCGATAGTAGCTTCAGGAAAGGCAACTTATAAGACGTCAGTATGCATAGTATGTTCGGGTACCCTTCTTGCACGAACTACATTTGCAGGTTCATTGTCAATTTAAAACAAAAAGCACCTATATCAAGCTGAGCTAAAAAAACAGGTAGATCCCCAGAAATAAAACAAACACAAGTCTATTTGCAGCGCCTTTTTACGCACAACACAACAGGATGCTTTCGAAGACAATTAGGCGTTATTTTCAGAAATAATATTATCCAATAGCTCATTAGAAAACTACGTCATTTGCAAATTGCGAGACACAGTGGAAGGGTAATCAAACACGTCATACTATTTTCTATTTCAGAAGATTCACGCTAATGCTTTGTGCTCTACAACTTCTGGAAAAGTTAAAGATAGAAGATAATGTTAATAGCAAGCCTTCAATGGACAGCTGGACTAGAGTGAAGAATGTGAATGCATCAGGCCAAGAACAACAAACCACCACGAGAAGAATCCATTTTCATCCTGTGATTGTGCACCTATCAATTTGAAGCACGGCATATGATTAACCACAAAAAAAAAAAAGGGAAACTTATTCCCAAGGTGTTTCTTCTATGCGCCTCAGCAGATATTGAATGATTTAGTGACCATATAACCAAAACGAGGAGGGAAATGCTTAGCTCCTGGACACAACTTCTACATGCTCAACCAAAATCAAACAAAATCTGCAACTCCTAAACATATCTCTAGCATCATCACTCATGAAAGATGATCAAAGGAAGAATCGATTAACTTCTGCCCCACTAAAAGACGGGCTTTCCAGATCAAAAGAGTGCCCCGGAACATTATTCGCAGAGAGAAAATCATGCCCAAAGTAGAGGAATCGACATATCTCAGGCCCTGAATTCGCGTGGTACTACTAATCTACAAATTGTAACACCCACAAACACAGGAAAAAACCCTCTGAGCCGCCAATACAACAAACAGATCCCTAGACAAGCCGTGAAGATTCATACAGAAGACAGTGTCAACACACAGGAGAGGAGAGCAAGAAACGAACCTTCTGGAATTCATGGCTGGAACAATCAAAACACCGTCGCCACTCTATCTCTCTATTTATACAAGGGTATTCTGCTCTAGTTATCTTCGCTTCCGGGACCGCTTCTAAATCGGCAGAAATTGAAGGGAGAGACGTCAAAGAGACGGAAAATTCGTAATGAAAACATTGGAATTACGCAATTGAGACGGATGGTTACAGGAGGAGCGCCGATCTAGATCTACAAAAAGATAGAAAAGGAATTACAGCAAAGCTTACAGGAGGTTTCTTTCGTCTTCTCCTTGGTGGCCGCCTGATAGGCCGATGGGGAATGAATTGGAAGTTGGAACGGAACTCCGAGACGGGGAAACGAGATCCGACTATTGCTGCCCACAACAGTGCGTTTAAGTTCTAAAAATTCGGGTGAACTACTTTTCACAGGTGCCGTAATTTGCAAGTGTGGAAGGGAAAGCAAAAAAAAACTCTGGTACGGTTTGTCGATTTCCCGGCTGCTCTGGTTCACTGTTGTGGGCCAAAGCCGGCCCAGAAGAGATGAGAATGGCACTACACCTCCTCACCCAGTTTGACAAATCTCTCAATCAGCTGCCTCAAGTTCGCCATTGATCCCGGACAGTCATCAAAGTTCTTATTTTCTTTTCAGGTGAAAAATAAGCTTCAGAATTCTAATAGAGAGAATGTATTATCGAAGGCTTAAAAAAAATTATGTTTTACCATGGTTGAATCGCAAAATACTTGCACTTGAGCCGAATCTAGAATGGTACAAGCAACAGTACTAACAAATCGTGGCGGGCGATATTGAGATTTTAGAGGGCTATGATCCTTGGCATTTGCACTTAAGCCTTCTGCACCTATTGTAAACGGAGTTCAAGTGCCAACCTTTCTTCTAAACAGCACGACCTATTGTAAACGGAGTTGGGGTGGTAGGAGAGAAGACATTTGGAGGATTAAGAACTGACAGAAAAAAGGAACTGATTATTACAGTGCATAACCCCCCTTTGCCTTTTACAAATGCATGATTATTGAACATGAAGTAGAAACAAGAAATTAACTGTACATTATTAAGGTTGCAAAATTTACTGCCCAGCTAACAAGGGGTGGCAGTGATAGGTAATGGCTACTTCGTCATCTGAAAATGACTTCATCCCGAGCACCAGGCAAGCCTTTGAGTACGTCCCGCAGAGCATACTGATGGCTGTCGCATTTGTGGTCTGAAATTATGTTGTTCGACAGAATTATCTTCTGGAAATGCTCACCTGGCTGCCTCTTCAACAATGTGAAATATTCCAAGCCCCTGCTGCTGCTGCTGCTGCTGAGATCGACGTTCCGTTTGAGATAGTACACGGACCCTGGCACGAACAACTCCTCTGGCACGATATTTGTGTGTCCTTCCTTTTCGTTGATATCAGCGTTCTCTGTGGCGGCTTTGGAGGTCAAAGCAACACGAGGTGCCTTCCTGGTAGGAGAATCTGCCAAAGGTACCAAAAATCAGCCTTGCAGAACAAAAGGAAGACATTGCACGAAGTTTAAGTGGATAATGTTCTCATACAGACAGCAGCAGTGCAGTACCCATCATATAACATGGTGCATATCCTAGTGTCTACCTCTATTTTCTGCCATGCATTCAACAACCAGTACTAGCAGAAGGGCCCTAGGCGCTCACCCATCTGTACCAGACATCTATTGTAGTCAGTCAACTGAAAGTTGTTTACAGGCCTAATCATACGCTCCCTGGCAGCAGAAATTTTTCTAGACAAATTGAAGATTTCAGAGACATCATCCTACTACTTATGGGAAAACCCCGAGTTCCCAAACCCGTCATCCAGGATAGCATATCACATTAACATAAAGATGAAAATCATTGTTTCGATCATAGGCTTTTAATCTTCACCCTTGTTGCAATGCAATCTCAGCTGGGATCAATGCACCCAAGTCAAGCACATGCTTGCATTGTCAAAGAGCCACAGCTAGCAGCTGAAGCAAAGAGGCTAAAGCAGCTGCAGCTTGAAGAAAGGGAAAGAGAACGACTTGCATTGAGCTGGATAAAGGTAAAAGCAATACTGAAGGACCACAGCTGAGGTGGCAGCTCAACGCCATTGACTCTGCTGCTTGTAGTAGGAGCAAAAGTGAAGCTGTGTATTCTTGACAGCTTTTCCATATTTGGCTTTTTGTTAGCATAATCTAAGTTTATTTTTTAATCTATAAATGTGTTATGTTTTTCTTAAGTTATAGTGATGAATTGAAAGGATATGAAATGAAAATAAATGAAGCTCACAGAATGCATGGCTGGCACCATCCCAAAATTTGTTCAATTTTTACTGTTCCTTCAGTTTTCTCAATTTAAGTGTACTTTTCTGTTTACTACAACCCTAATCCAAAAGAAAAACATAAATCTTATGTCCAAATGCTCAACCGACATGTCTATCTTATGCAGCAGAAATATCCTATACCCTTCTACAGAACAGGGTGAAAAAACTAAACAGAAAAGAAGACGACAACAGTAGAGTTTCTATCTCGAACATGCAGATTTCGGCAAGAAAGCCAAAAAGCGAAGCACTCACTTACCAGGAGAACTCTTACCCCAAAACTTAGCAAAGTCAGCCAGCTTGCTAGCCACATCTTGAACTGAAGACACAACTTGCTTTGCATTGGTGACCATACCTATAACGCTTTTCCAGTCTTCTTTCTCAATTACACTGGTCCTGTACACAATGCAGATTGTTTCATTGATAGAAGCTACAAGACAGTCAGTATGCACTCTGTATTTCAAATTCCTAAATATAGCTAGCACATTATTCTTCTAGTAGTCAATGAAGGTCACACACCATGAAACGAAAACCCAACTGTCTGATAACCCCAACCACCTTTTGAACATAAAATAGGAAGTGTAACTAAACACACCTAAGTTACGAGCTACATGTAGACAAGCTTATATAGTCCCAATGTGAAGTGGGTAACATAAATTTCAGATCAACTGATTTCCATTTTCTATTGAATTTCCATAACTTCTCAGCCTAGACTTGCATATTTCGCTTCAGTGTGTTCTATGAAACACGAAAATGCGGCATCTGCAACAGAAATTTACCAATCAGTTTGAAGAATTTCATTCCGCAATCGTGCCAAAGAAGCTGCACTTAACCTAGGTACGATATCATCCTGCAAACATGTGAAATTAAAATAATAAAAGACTACACTACAAGGAAACCGGAGACAACAGTTACTATTCAAAATAAACTTTAGACATTTGTCTGAAACCAATGGACAAGGCAGAAGATTTCTGTTGACTAACATGGGTTAAAGATCAACCACTATCAGCTTACCTGCATTACAACATTAGAAACGAAATCTGAACAACTTTCAGCAAGTTTGCTGGAGACGCATGGTGGGGTAGCATACCCAACAGCAGAAACAAGCTCAGGAGAAAATCCAAGTTCTTCATGCGAACATCTGCGGAGCATGATTGCCAGCAAAGAAGCAATGGCACCTCCAAGAGAATGACCCACTACCCTAAACCTATATCCCTGTAGATGATTCAGTTTCAATAAAAAAGAAAACTTGCATTGAAAAGGCATGGAAAAATCTGCATGGAAAATAAACAAGTGAACTACACACATCATGAGTCTCCAAGTACTTCCTTATGGTTTTCGTCTCATGTTTAAGAAACCAACGAGCAGCTTCAGCAGTGCCAAAATGGGTTGAATAACCCTCAATAGTGACGTCATCATCACTTGACGAAACAATATCAGTGATGAGATCATATACTGTATTAGTACCACGAATTCCCAAAATCACAAGCTTCTTGCGTGGATCAATGCCAATGTAGTATCCAGGCCTCATCACACTAGAATCTTTCACATATTTGAGAATATTTTTCTCCCGGAGCATGCTGTGCCGGACAAGACCAGAAATGTCACCCTTATAACAGCCTTTTGCCAACTCAAGGTGATATATTAGATCTTCAATCTGAGCAATGAGAAGATATGAACCTAAATTAGCAAGGGACAAATATTACTTTCCAAAGATCAAATTCAGACAAAAACATTGTAGGAATACAAGATTTAGGCTTTACTATTGCTTCAGAAGAGACTTGAATCCCCTTAACATCCTCAAACGCATTCAAAGAACCCTGACGAAGATATAGAAGATACAAGCCAATCGTAAAATCACTCAAGGTCCAATCCTCAATCCCAATCTTACTCCTCTGAATGCTAGAAATTACTTCTGAAATAGATCGACCACTTGGAGGGACTTTGTTTCCAATCCCACTCCCTGACAGTTTGCAATCAGAACAACATCCAATTCAACACCCAAACCTAGCTTAGAGAAAAAATGCACAAGAGCTTTCAAAAGGTCACAACTTTACCAACCTCCAGGTAGCGCCCACCTGCAGAATTGCAAGGCTGGTTCAAGGGTTTTTGTGAACCAAACAGGCTCCAGCTTCCATTTATTGGAGCCTGCGTCGTTTTCACTGCTAGCGGTAGATTTGGTGCGCATGGGCCTGGAGGAAACTTGAGGGGATTCCGTTGCTTCTCTTCTCGTAGGGTCTGATTCCTGGAAAGTATCCCCGGAGGTTCGCGATTGCCATCGCCGCAGAACGTGGTCGGCTAGCCGCCTGTAGGATTCTTGCCTCGCGACGAAGTACTTGGCGTAGTCTGCAAATTAACATCACTTCAATTTAAGCGAAGAGAGCAAATGGCTATGGCGGTTGAATTCTATCAGGCAGAAATAAGAACTCACAGCTATCGTGGAGGAACAGCTTCCGTAACTGATTCATCATTGCGAGAAATATTTGAGAAACTAGCTGACTAAGCGGATAGTTCTGGCGGCAAAGGCGGTGGCCGACGGGAAGAAAAGAGCTGGTGCTGACTACTGAGTCGTTGTTAAACTGTGGCAGTTTGGGGTACGAAACCGACCGCCGACCACCGGAGAGGAAAAGCCGAACTGAGGTGAAGGCGACAGCGGTGCAGAGAGCGGGCGAAGAGGTAGCAGATGGCAGCGTGAAACGAAGGGAGAGTGCTGTTAAACCAATTACCGCCTCTGTATGAACTACAGACACCACAAAAGAGGTGAAGCAACGGTTATTCTTGGTAAATTATTGCGAACTCCAAGGTTACTTTTGTCAAATAATAGACGATTTATTTCCAACATATCACGGGTAATTAGCATAAAGCTTACAATTTACAAACCTATTCACTTTATACGAAACGATCACAAATATTTCACTTTGTACGTTTCGGTAATATAGGTTTAAGGAGATAACGAAATAGTCATTCCGTCCATCTTCATCCAACAAATTGTTAGTTTCGTCCAATCAACACGTCATGTCACTTAAAATATTAATAAAAAATTTAATGACGAAACCCAATTAAACCGGCCAACCGATATAAACATACCACACTTACTAATAGGGGTGGGCACGTGGGTGGTTAATCCGCGGATTGATATCGATCCACCCGCAAATAACCCGACCCGCATGCAATGGGTGATTGATGTGGGTGGATTGCGGATTGTT